CGCCGAAAAATGAACCGGGGCAGGAACCGTCAACGTAATAAGTCACGCCCTATGTTTCTTAACGAGTAACTATATACACGAGCGCTTGCGTCACTAAGCCATAAATGCACATATATATATATATATATATATATATATATATATATATATATATATATATATATATATATATATATATGGGTGGTTTCATCTCAAATCGTGCAGGCAAAAAGGGTCAAATTTTTAATTTCGATGAAAACAATATATGTTATGGCGCCATTTCTAAAACCGCAGTCGACACAAACCGCAAGTTCGTCGGATTTTTTGTTCTCGACTTGTGAATTTTTAAAGAGGCCGCGGCGAAAAGCAGTGTTTTTCACACCCGTCGTGGGTCGGATGTTTCGCTTGATCTCCCGCCATGGATGTTTAGAAAACATTATGTTATCTTTTTTTGAAGCACTCTGTGGACACATTTAAAAGGCTCCAATACCATGAAATAATTTTAGGCCTTTTGCTTTTTTTCTGTAAAAATGTCAAAAACGCCTCCTCGGTCAATTGTTGACGAACTTTGACAATTAATTACTGGCGATCTACTTGGGTTACACCGATATTTTTTATGTCCACGGAGAGCCCAAAACACGCTCTATATATTTATTATAAAATGCCTCGGATGTATAAAATATCCTTTGCGGTACGTTTACGTTAATATTATGCAAAAACTAAAAAGTACCATTTTTGAAATTGATTTTCTCAAAAAACCCATCTTTTATTTTTTTATTTTTTGTTCAAATGTAGATTTGATAGTTGTCTACACGAAAATCAAGCCTAGAAAGTGTATATTTTGTTTGCATGTTTTATATTTAGGCCTCAATATCGGAAAAAGACGTCTTTGTTTTTCAAGACCTAAGTCAGACATAGCGACCCATGCGTCTCTATGAATTCTGAAAAAGTTTTCTTGAGTTTTCTTCTGCATTTTGTAATCAATTATAAACGGATTTTGTGGTATTGAATATTTATGTATGTTTTGATAAGAGCGGGAACCATGAGATACATATCTAACCAAATCAGCAGGCCCAGTAGACTTTCAATAACCAAAAGGCACAGACGTTGTATTGTTTCGATTTATAAACCTTTCAAAGTAAACTAGCACGGCTAGCTATTAGCTGTCATATTACTAAGACAAATAAAGTCACCACATCGTTGATATATTATATACAATTCTTTACGAAACCAAACACTGGGGCTTGTTCACCGCACATCGCACAGGTCACCAGGGAATGCCCTTTCACTCCCGTAATACACAAAAGTGGTGACACGGAAACGGTCCGAAACACACAGAGAGTGTGTCATGGAGAGGGGTAGGAAATAAAAATAAATAAATAGGAATTAAATTGCCCAACTCCGATCTTAACAAAAATTGCGTTAAAAAAAAAAGTATTTAGGTTCGAGCGGTGGCAAGGCGATAGGTCCACGCCTGGTGGAGAGTCAGACAAAGAAGTCGACGGCACGTAAAGGTAAAACAAACAAAAAAATCAATAATTTAATAAAGACGGGAAATCTCAGCCGCACATGGCAAGAACAAAAACCAACTCCCCCGGGCATTCCCTAAACGGGACGCAACCAAATGCGTGCGAACACGCTCTCTACATCACCGCCAGGCCGCTACGCCATGACGAAATAAACCCAACAACTGAACAGTGCTAACAAACAGTTAGTAAGAAAACATTAAAAAAAAAAAAACGTTCAGAAAAAACCGCACCCGAGAAACAAAGTTCAGCGGGACGAAGAAACACACACGAGTCGGTCCCACGACATTGAAGTTTGGCAGGATGACGGCGTCCAGATGATGCTCGAATCTGTTCCTCCCTTAATTACGCACATCCACGGCGGCTGTGCGGAACAGTGGCTGTACGAAAGAAAGTGAAGAATAGATTCGAGCAGGCGATGCGCGAGAAGGTAACCGAGACTATGCTTCAAGCTTCATATTCATATTGTTCGTATTGTTTACGATAGGTACTTTGAAAGGCGCTGTTATTATGACTATGAATACATACTTAGGTCATTTTCGCTTACACTCTTGTCTGAAAGGCGAACGATTCATGATTTTGTATTTTTGCATAAGGTTGTGAATAGTGTAATTGATTCGCCATCAATGCTCAGCAAAGTTAATTTTCATGTTAACTTACGCCATACTAGACATCCTGTATGCTTTGATGTACGTTCACCTTGTTGTACTTCACCGCTTTCTCGGATTCAGACATTATACAACAGCATTGCTCCTAAGCACCTCGATTTCTGTACATCCATTTCATTGTACCGCCATCAGTTGAATAACCTTGTAATTTACTGATAACATTTTGTTTGTTTATTTGTTTTTGGGTGATCGTAATATACCAACGTGTTTCTAGGATTGAACAGGTGCACCAAAGTGAAGACCGCTGTGGTTGTTTTTGGGCACTGAAAATAAAGTCATTATATTATATTATATTATATATCGGGAGAGGAGCTTTCGAAATAGTTTCTGCAGTTACTCAAACTTTCTTTTTCCCCTACCCTTTTTCAAAAGAACACGTCAGCCGGCGCTAACGTTTCATCTCGGGAGAAGCCCACTCTTCACAAACGGTTATAGTTGACAAGGAGGCTGACTTCGACCCAACTAGTCTCCGGGCAGAATACAAACACAAGTATATTTACCAACACGCTCATTTTAATGTCAGTCTCCGGGCTTTGCTGTTTCCAAAAGAGATAACCCTTTATAAGGACAGAACGAGCGGGTTGGTGGGGATAATTCAACTTAAACACTCCCTTCTCGTTTTCTTCCTCAAGTTTAATAGATAACCCTTCGGTGCTATCGGATCTCCCCGGAGAGAGAGAGAGAGCACGGCCGTTTCAAGGTAAGGATAGGGCGCTCGAAGCTAGGGCAAACAGGTGGTATCGTTTCACGCATGCACGGATGGCTGGTTTCAAATTTCCCCACATCCCTAACGAAACCGGCCCATCTTCGTGTGTGCGTCTGCGGGATTTCTGTCCCGCGCCGCCGGTTTTAGCGCGCACGCGGCGTTTTTTTGGCTGGCAGAACAGTTGTTGACCGTCGACATTGTAAGGCCGTGGTGTCCTCATCCTTTCAGGCAACGATTCCTTTGCTTTCCCTTGTGCAATACTCTGACAGAGTCCTCCTGGGTGGCTGTCACTGTTCGCCGCGTCAACGACACAATCGTACCATTTCACTCCTCGTGACACAGGGTGCGCTGCTCGCTTTACTGTCACGGGCCGTCCCATCTAACACAACGAGCGCGAAAGGTCGTGGTCATCTGCTGGCTCCGAAAGGGCGGGACGTTCATGCAGGCCAATGAGGGCCCCGAATCAATACGACGTCTGCCGACTCCTACACGTTAAAAATTTACGACACCTGCTGGTCTGTTAAGAAGTGTTGCTTTCTCTTTTTGGAACTCCTCCGATGTAGCTTGCCGCCTATAATAAAATTTAAATAATCAATAAATATATCAGGGTGGAAATACTGTATTTCATTTTTATGTGGGAACGTTAAAAAAAAAAAAAAACTATTTCCAAGCTTGTGAAGACGCGCAATTCGCAAGTCCATTTCGAGCCGTAAAAACACGTTTTTGTACGATATTGATGCTTAAATGTAGAACATACAAACAAAATATACACTTTCTAGGATTGATTTTTGTGTAGACAACTATCATATCTACATTTGAACAAAAAATAAAAAAAATAAAAAATGAATTTTTTGAGAAAATCAATTTCAAAATGGTACTTTTTAGTTTTTGCATAATATTAACGTAAACGTACCGCAAAGGATATTTTATACAGCCAAGGCATTTTATAATAAATATATTGAGCGTGTGTTGGGCTCTCCGTGGACGTAAAAAATATCGGTGTAACCCAAGTAGATCGCCAGTAATTAATTGTCAAAGTTCGTCAACAATTGACCGAGGAGGCGTTTTTGACATTTTTACAGAAAAAAAGCAAAACGCCTAAAATTATTTCATGGTATTGGAGCCTTTTAAATGTGTCCACAGAGTGCTTCAAAAAAATATAACATAATGTTTTCTAAACATCCATGGCGGGAGATCAAGCGAAACATCCGACCCACGACGGGTGTGAAAAACACTGCTTTTCGCCGCGGCCTCTTTAAAAATTCACAAGTCGAGAACAAAAAATCCGACGAACTTGCGGTTTGTGTCGACTGCGGTTTTAGAAACGGCGCCATAACATATATTTTTTTCATCGAAATTAAAAATTCGACCCTTTTTGCCTGCACGATTTGAGATGAAACCACCCATATATATATATATATATATATATAAGCTTCTTTTTTTTACAGTTAAGATTTCTGATGATGAGCGATGTCTATGTCCACTGTAGTCTGGCAAACTAAGAAACCCAGGCAGCGGTGAAACCCAGACCGGGGGTTAAAAGGCGGGGAAGTTTGTTTGCCCGATCCCCCAAAGGTCATCCTGGTGATATCCCACACCGCCTGGTGATAGTTACGAAATTGCATAGGGTAAGCTAACTGGCGAAGGAAAGAAATCATACTTTTGGTTCCTATTTTTGAGGCTAGGGGGCGCAAGCTACACCCGTTATAAAGGGTACAGCCGTTAGCTTCCATTTATTCATTCATCCGATGAGTCCCAGGCATCTTGCTATCGCTCTGCAACCAATGGGATTGCGGCGTCAGCAGATAAAGATGCCGAGGAACAAATCAGGAAGCAAGATATCACAATAGGACACTCACCATGTAATAACACTTCCTGGAGAAGGGGAACAAAGGGGACAAAGAACAAGCACAAATCTCGAAACACAGCTATAGCTTACTGGTGCGCGACCGAAAAAATCCGCCTGGTCGGAGTATCGAACCCGGGACCCCTCCATTTTCAGTAGAGAGCTCTACCATGTTTCTTAAGTTGTCAGTGACAATGAAAACGAGGCACCCAAGGTATGTAACTGGCATTCATATATATATATTTCTTTTTCTAGACGCTGCTTGTCAACAAGCATAAAACAATATTAACAAAATATATAAACTGTTTCCGTCGATGGCTGCACTGGAACCAACCGTATAGCACCACAAAGACGACAAAGACGGCCGCATTGCACACTTCCGAAGGCGAATCAGGACACAGTGTACGGCGCAGTTTCGAAGACGAGGAGTCAGCCCGGATCTCGATATGCCCCAGGACGTCCTCGCCGCCACCACATACAAGTTTCCTCGGTAGCTGCGCCGCAGTACAGATGCCCGACCGACGGTCACCGCCGAGCGTGTTCATTCGTAGTGGTGCTCCGTCGGCACGAACTGCATGCCCAGTTCCTGGTAGGCCCAGGCCTCGCAGTTGTTCTCGTTGCGGCTGTAGCGCCTGAAACGACAAGAGTTCGCCGAACCTGCACACGCGGGACTCGCACGTACCGGTGCGCGACGCCATTAAACCGCACGAGACAACGTCTCTTCCGCACAAACGACTGGTATACAGATTTGCGTTAAACGATAAACCTTATTAGGGAGTTTTCGTAGATCGTTTTCGCCGTCCCGCAAAGACCCCCGCAACCCGCTACGATAGCGGGAACTTCACCGTCAAGGCTACCGGCGCGCAGGCGCAGTATAGCAACTTCTTCGTTGCGGAACGCTTAGCGGAGAGGGCAGCGCGGTCTACGAAAACTCCCTATTACCACGCCGCGCTTGCGCAGTGTACGAACACGTAATAGCTCTCTTGAAGCTCGGATGAACCGGACGGCACAATAGGGAGTTTTCGTAGACCGCGTTGCCCCCTCCGCTAAGCGTTCCGCGACGAAGAAGTTGCTACTGCGCCTGCGCGCCGATAGCCTTGACTGTGGAGTTCCCGCTATCGTAGCGGTTTGCGGAGGGCCTTGCGGGAGGGTGAAAACGTTCTACGAAAACTCCCTAATAGAACAGCTTTGTTCTATCGTGCTTGTTTTTTCGTCCGCGTTTACTGAGCTGTTAATCCCATCAGTCTTGTACACGTTTCTAAAGAAAAGTAATCAATTAGATGACTTTATTAGTTGAGAAAAAAAGTAATTGCCCGTTTAGAAGTAACCGTTACCTTTACGATTACATTAGATTTTCAAAAAGACCGTTTGATTCTTCCGGTTTGAAAACGAGTCTTTCAAACTGTTCATTATTGAATTGGAGTCACTGGATTCCGAACTACTCATAACTTAATCCACCAGTTTTGGTAACCATCCTCTTGTATGAGAGTTGGCTCCAGGAATTCTTAATAAGAAACTTGTGCAGACAAAAAACATCATTAGAAAGGGTAGAAAGGGTTGAGGGAAAAATAGTGACGGTTACGAGTTAATTTGAGTTCTTCCAAAATATTCAGATTACCCCTGCTATTACTTCCTAAAAAATGTGATCAAATGAATTCGAAATGAAGTAATCGATTACAAATAATTTGATTTTTTAAGTGGCGCCGTGCAAGTCTGATCCCCGTCATGGATCGAAGAAGTCTTACGTGACACTGGGACGTCGTACGACGCCATGACGTTACGTCATGTTGATGACGTCAGGTAAACACCGTCCGCGCTAAAGTTACCGAGATGCGAGTCCGCTATTTTTGGCGGGCGTGTGGCGGTTTTTCGTGAAGTCACACTTACCTCGGGGACTCCGCGTTAAAAAATGCCCAGACAAAAACAGTTCAAAGTCAAAGGTGCTCTGCAGCGGCTTTTGCCTTTGACTTTTTATAAATTATTCGAATGTGATCCAGCAACTTCACAAATCTACAACTCCACAAAGTCGAATACGCGCCTCGGTTCTAAACGAAACGCAGAAATCAATCTCTCGCACCATTTTTTTTTTCTCGGCGCCGAGAGAAAAGAAAAAAAAAAAAAAAAGAAAAAAAAAGAAAGAAGACACGCGAAGAAGGGAAGGGCGTGAACGCGCTTTTGATCGCGTGAACGCGCTTTTGATCGCACGTTTTAGATAAAAGCGAGACGTTTATCCGCATATTTTATATATTTTTAGACCTTGAATAGGCTACTCGTTAAATCCGCAAAGTGGCGAAGTCACCGACCGTTTTAGTATATTTAACATTTATTCAATAGTAACCCCAAATGATAAGAGATCACCTAAAGTTCGAACAGATTGCTATTCCTTTTTTTTTTTTTATCTTTGATTGAAATGTTTTATTTCGGCGCACGCTCTAAGACCAGTCATCTTATCGGCGAGACGCACTTTGGGACATCCGTGGACGCAGTCACGCTTCTTATACATTTACAAGAAAAAGACAAAAACAAAAGTTTTTGGCGGACATGACAGACTTATCTCCGGTCATGCCTCAAGCAAATGTCTGAAGCATGTTTTCTTCGTGCATGCTTTGAAGACGTCTGCAGACAGTTTTCGCATGACCAAAGTAAAAGAAAAATCAACGATTAGTGGATAGACGGAAAGTTTTTGTTTTAATTTTGAACGGTGAGCAGAAACGTAAGGCTGGTGTAGCCTTAGCGTCTCTCATCTTTCCAATCAGAGCCCGGTGCTCTGGCTTCTCCGCGCGCTCTCATCCCCTCCTCTCCCTCCATTTCTCACCGCATACAGGTGGCGTATCCCCACGAAACGCGTGCAGGGTCGGTGCCCCCCGAAGCGTGCTCACCCCCTGTCCGTGCAGACGGCCTTGCGCACCTTGCGTATGCAGGGCACCTTGATGACGTTGAAGTAGACGTTGCCGATGGTGTCCGCGATGTTGCTCTTGGCTCCGCGGAGGCAGCCATGGAAGTCACGGTCGCAGTCGCAGTGGGACCTGCCGCACAAAGCAAAAGTCGTCGACGCATCAGCGAACTTCCGGTGTGCCTGGAACGCGTCCTCCGACTGGTGCGTTTACAGCGTCCTCAAATGGTGTTTTTCGGTTTCTGCCTGAAGACGTCGTAGACGTGCCATGCTCTTGTCTGCCGCGACCGTGGAGGTGTCGCTGCAGCGGTAAGGCATGTGGCGGACGCCTGGTCTCCTGCAGGTCGCCCTCCAGCTCGATAGTTTCCGCGGAAGTTTCGGGCAGTCACGAGCTGGAACTCGGCGACGACTGTGACACTCCTGTTCGCTCGTATTTCTTGCGGGGACCTATACGATCAACCGCCAGGATCACGACATCCGACAGCGTGACATGCCGTCTCTCGTGACGTCGTTTGATGTCACTTCGGGACTGCGTCGGATGCGTCATAGGACGCTGAACGCACCAGCCGAAACCGCGTTCCCATCACCGTAGTTTCGGTACCACCTGACTAAGATCGTCGTGGGTCTACGAAAAAGTATGAAAGCTGCCCTACATTGCGGGGGTCAAACGATAAAGTCATTAATGCAATTTTCCATCGACATAAAACATGTGTCTCGAGGCTTACTGGAGATTCTACGGCAAAACAATAAAAAGTGCCAAGAGGCAAAAGGCACCGTGATCCCATTAAGTTTACAACGTCTAAAAGACTTACATCGTATATTTTACATATGTGTGCGTGTGTCAGCAACGGCGGCTGTACTTTGGAGCGTGTGCGAAGCGTACCAGCAGCTCTCTTCAACATTTATTAAACGTCACATGCATTAATGTGTAAGTGCGCGTGTTTGTGTGCTTCCAGCATTTGGGAGTTCTAGCAGATGCCTTCCTCGGTACATTGAGACAACTCAAAACGGGAACTGGCAGTACAAAATTGTACGTCCAAATACTACTGCCACATTTTAGTGAAGGCAAACGTGCAAGGGCACTTTTCTTGTGTTGTTTGCGGGAGCCTCAGACGCACAAAAGCCAAGATTCCGTCGAGTTTGCCTTCGCTACAAAAGCAGAACTAAAAGCGACGCCTTCGCACCCACTAGCTCTTACAAACTTTTTTTTTCTTTTTAAGGGAGCTATTTTTACATGAATAGCTGACCTCGTTTTGTGGATCAGCTTGTTTACGGTTCCCTCGTACTTGCGTTTAGTTATGTTGAAGACGACTGTGGTGGCCGATGAATGTGCGTTTCGTGCATGGCGGCTGTAGTGTGGACAATGCCGGAAGCAGTTATATTTTATTTCTTGAGTAGGCCGTTTTCTTGCAGCGGAGACGAAGGTAGAACCGTAGAGATGGGTCGAAATAGAGAAGCCATCTTGAGTAGCCAGGCGACGGTCTGACGACAGGCGAAGCGGAGAAAACGCTCACTCACGTTCCTATGCCCAAACTCAGAGTGGGCCGCGCATGCGCAGGGAGCGGAACGGGTGTACGAAAACGGGCTCCTGAAACTTTCTATTAGCGCAACTGTTCACAAAACGCCGTTTGAACAAGAAACGTCTGCGGAGTAAAGAGCAGTGAGGATGTCAAGAGCATCGGACTCAAATACAACGCCGCACTTTGAGAGCTTTAATTCCAAATATCGAATCTTATGACGCATTTGAAAATCCATCTCGAGTAATCTAATGTGAACGGAATGCTTTTTGACACGTCTTACGACGCTTATTTATCTCTCGACTGCGTTGTATTTCCCACGGGCCTCAACGGGAGCCTGCTGAGCCTCACGTCTACTGCTTTCGGGGTTGCGACAGCTCGGTGCGCCACAGTAGCTAGAGCTTTGACGTTTGTTCTTCTGCGGAAGCATCTGGAATCGTACGCAACAGAGAGAAACTCATAAATCAACATTTTCGAAGTGATTAATGAACATGCCCCAGGAGAAAGCAGGACTGCCAAAAGGGCATTCCCAATATTGCAAATATTTTGAGCTTGATGCCGGAACGTGTCCTAATAAACTTGGTTGCCCTGGGGATCGTGGCTTGTCGTTCTCACTCCAAACTGCAGTTTTTGTCCCCCTCCCTTCTAATGCGTGTATTGTTTCATTCATCCTGTGAATCTTTTAGCGCCGTATTTTGTCAAATGGCGCCAAATATTTCTAAAAAAAAAAACCTGGATTGCGACAACAAAACGAGCCCAGTCCCATTCGTGCTCAAAATAATTTACGAATTTTTTTATACAACCCAAGACTGGCACATAGCAAGAATTTATAATGGAAGAGAAAGCAACAGATTGACAAGAAGCAACGTCTCAATTGCGACGTTGCTTCTTGTCAATTCTGTTATTTTTTCCTCCACCTTGGATACCTCTTCCTCTCTACCAAGTCTCAAGTTTTTCAAGAAAATGGTAAATCTACACCAGCTTGCCTGCGCCATCGCTGTTTTAAAATTTGTACCTTGACTGCAAAAGCAAAATAATAAATCGACGCCCAACGTGGGGCTCGAACCCACGACCCCGAGATTAAGAGTCTCGTGCTCTACCGACTGAGCTAGCCGGGCGCTGATTTACTGGTTAAAAACATAAGTAACAAGAATGTAAAAATGAGGTATATACATATACATATACAAAATGAGGTATATACATATACAGCCTTTGTTTCACAAGAAAAAAATATTTCCCGAGTCACCATTTGTCACATTCCGTAAGCATCGGAATCTTGGGAGGATGCAATGTCCCTCGTATATGCAAAAACCCAGTTCATGCGGCGGTTGTGGTCCTTGCCACAACAATCCTTGCCAGCTTTGCCCGTTCGTTTTGACTGCTGATAAAATTTCGAGCTACGCATCAGATTTCTACGTAAATATTAAACAGCCTATCGACTGCAAAATACCTGACGTGATATATATTATTAACTGCACGCTGTGTGACAAGCAATACGTGGGAGAAACTAAAAATTCTATGAAAGAGCGATTTTATGGCCATAAGTCTGACATTGCAAATAAGGGACAAACACCAGTCGCTATAAACATCTTAACTCCGACGACCATGATATCTATACGGGCCTAGAAATTACCATCGTGGAAAGCAGTTTCAAACATAATATTACGCGCAAAAATAAAGTCCTTCTATATATCTAAATTTAAAACCCTAACCCCGCTTGGTATGAACATTTTAGTTTTTAGTTTTTGGTATACTACAGGCAAACCATCTCCCCCATCGCAGAGGAGAGCCGGGGGGGGGGGGGGGGGGGAGAGAGAGAAAGCTCTTTGAGGGGAGAGCTAAAAACATTGGGATGTGGGGACGTCGCCCGCTAACTTCCCTCTTTTCTTCTCCTTTTTTTTTTTTTTTTTTTTTTTTTTTGCGGGAAGGAAAAAGGGGGGGGGGGGGGGGTGCCACCCACTTGTGACATTTCTGGTGCCCGTTTACACACACTTCGGGGTTATTTGTGATTTTGGGTTGCCAAAGGCATGGTAGTGCTTTTTTGGACGAGGACAAAAGAAAGAAAGACAAGACAGACACGAGCGCTGACTGCAACTATATAATCAACATGAAAATGAGGCATATATACACGCTTCGATCCTATCAATCAGCCAACCCCAGGCCTTGCCGCCATTTGCATGAACTGCACCTCCTTATCGAAAAGGTCGATAGATGCAACGCTGGCACACCCCAGCCCTGCCTTTTTTATCTCGTCCGCTTCGATAATCTCCCTAACAGTTCTATTTTTATGTTTAGCTAGTACTGAGCATAAGTCGAACAAAGGTTTGCACCCGCAGTCATGGCAATGCATTGAAAGGTGGCCATCCCGATAGTTTTTGATGTTTAGACTATGTTCCCGGAGCTTATCGTTCAGGCATCTCGCAGTCTGACCTACATATTTCTTACCGCATGTTAACGGAATCTGATACACTACGCCTTCAACACAAACGACGAACGGATTTCTGTGTCTAATCACACAACCCAGCGAGGCTTTGCGGAAACGGTTCGTCAAATAACTCAGCCTGGCTAGCTTCTCTGGCGCAGAAAAGACCACCTTGGTAAAGACCACCTTTCCGCAAAGCCTCGCTGGGTTGTGTGATTAGGCACAGAAATCCGTTTGTCGTTTGTGTTGAAGGCGTGGTGTATCAGATTCCGTTAACATGCGGTAAGAAATATGTAGGTCAGACTGGGAGATGCCTGAACGATAGGCTCCGGGAACATAGTCTAAACATCAAAAACTATCGGGAGGGCCACCTTTCAATGCATTGCCATGACTGCGGGTGCAAACCTTTGTTCGACTCATGCTCAGTACTAGCTAAACATAAAAATAGAACTATTAGGGAGATTATCGAAGCGGACGAGATAAAAAGGGCAGGGCTGGGGTGTGTCAGCGTTGCACCTATCGACCTTTTCGATAAGGAGGTGCAGTTCATGCAAATGGCGGCAAGGCCTGGGGTTGGCTGATTGATAGGATCGAAGCTTGTATATATGCCTCATTTCCATGTTGATTAAATAGTTGCAGTCAGCGCTTGTGTCTGTCTTGTCTTTCTTTTGTCCTCGTCCAAAAAAACGCTACCATGCCTTTGGCAACCCAAGACCAATACCAACTAGCCCAGCATTCAGCTTTGTTTGTGATCTTCGTTTCCTTCGGCGTTATACTGTATGTTTTTATTTTGTTTTATTTTTTATTTTATTTTATTTTTCTGGATTTGGAACTCAAACTCTAACTTGACGGAGGTCGTTGCCTGTGATATATTTTCTTGGTTTCGCTAACGAGTGCCGGGACCGTGTTCCCATTGGTACTATTACTTTTTGTTTTGTGTGTGTGTGTGCGTATGTTTTGCTGGAATGTAGTTTTTTCTTGCTCAAGTGTTTGCACTTGTACTATTATATATGTGATTTTTTTCTTTCGCTTTTTCCAATGTATTTTCTTTCTCTTGGTCTCTCTAAAAACGCTTTGCAACTGTATTTGTGCACACTTGAAGAAGGGAAGTCCCTTCCTGAAACGTCGTGTAATAAAGCCTCTGCTGCTGTTCAACCATTTTTCTACAAAAAAAGAACGTTACATAATTTAGAC